GTACCACCTGCCCACCCAGCTCAGGAAATGAGCTCTCTAACAAAGTTAAATCGGTGTCCCTGAAGACTCAGGCACCTGGATGGTGTGGAGGCACGCTGCTCCCATGCTGCACTAGTGATGGCTGCCGACCTCCCTGCCACTGTGCTCCCTGGGAAAAAACCCTGAGTCAGGGATTAAAATGGTGCCATTTGCAGCAGAGACAGTGTCAGCAGGAACTGCTGCACTTGCACTGGTTATTTGTTACTGCGTGCATACCTGAGTTGCACAAAACTAGTATATGTATCCACATATCATAGGATCACAGAATGGTTTGGGTTGGAAGGGCCCTTAAAGATCAGTTAGTTCCAGCCACACAGGGACACCTTCAGCAAGACCAGGTTACTCAAAGCCCTGTCCAAAATGGCCTATATACACAGAGAAGTACATGTCTCTAGCAAAAAAAAGTACCTTAGCATTCAGACACTCATTTTATTTTTGAAAAAGATGGCTTTGGAAGTTTTCACCCTATGATGAACCTACTTTTTTCTCTGTAGGTTAAATAACATCAGGTTTAGGACAGAAAGGGCAGGTGTTGCCTTCACTTCCCTGTTGCAGGTTTAGCTCCTCTATTCGGAAACCTGATGCCTTCTGCTAAAACACAATACCACCTCTTTGCAGCTTTGCATTTCAGGGTGTGAAGACAAAAGAAACCTGAGCTGCAAACCACTTACTCACTCTGCAGCTTTAAGATCTCCATTATGAGTTCAGGGGGTTACAGTACAGGTGGATGTTAATGTTTGAACTTTACTTGTATCATCCTGCAGTGCCCAACTCCTTGGGGCAGTGCTGGGGGGACCACAAAACTCCCAGGACATGGCTGAGCCAGCAGGGGTGGGAAAGTTATTTGCCATTGAAGTGCATGGCAGTAAAGGCAGCTGGAAGAAAAATTTCTTTAGAGCGTTCAAAAGGTTTTAATATTTTGGTGTTTCACTGAGATCAGGGGCTGTTTTCCCATGGCCAAGATATTTCTTTTACTCAGATTGATGGCCATCGTGATTCTGTCAGAGGTTTTTTCTCCACGTTAAAAAAGGCCAGAGAAACGTAATCAAACTCTCCCGGCCTCACTGAGTACTTGGCAAGGAGTGGTTCCCATCACAGCAGGCATAGAAGAGAAAATTCCATCAGACCTTAAGGGAGCCTACAAGAAAGATGAAGAGAAACTTCTCACAAGGGCATGTAGTGACTAGCCAAGGGGGAATGGCTTCAAACTGAGAGTAGGTTTAGATTGGATATTAGGAAGTAATTATTTATTGTCAGGTGGTGAAGCACTGGAACAGGTTGCCCAAAGAAATCATGGATGCCCCATCCCTGGAAGTGTTCAAGACCAGGCAGGCTCTGAACAGCCTCATCTAGCGACAGGTGACCCTGCCTTTGGCAGGGGGTTGAAACTATGGCACTCAGATCACCATAGGAAGCCCGGGATATTTGGCTGTGATGTCAAAAAAGCCACTGCTGGAGGGAGAGGGAGTCTGTGAACTCCAAGGGTATCTCTGTTTCACCCACCAACCCAGGAAAATAAGAGTGTTGAATAAATGCAGCTTGTGTGCCCTGGCTGCCCCAGATCCAGCTGCCACAGCCAGGGTCAGCACTGCTGCCTCCCACTGCTTCAGCCACACCAACTACTTATTAAAAATAGACTTTTTTCTTCTTGGAAAGGACAGAAAAAAAAAAAAAAACCAAAAAAACCCCAAGAAACCTTTCTTTTAGGATGATGCAAACTTATGTTTTCTCAAACCTAAATGCATCCAAAAATACCTGCTTTAAACCCCAGTGCTGATTCCTGGGTAAATCACTGCAATCAGCTCTAGAGGCCACCCCCAACGCACAAAAAATGTCATGTGGGTGGATAAGAAAAGCATACATTGATGTGGACACTTTTTATCCTTGCCTAACCCATCAGGCAAACTGGTCCTTAAAAATTCATTGTATAACCATCACAAAACTGGAGGCAGAAACATCTCCAGCCTGACTAATCTTCCCAGCTGCTTTGCCTGCCTGGTTGACAGCAGAGAGCAGGAGCACCCCCTTCCAGTGCTCACTCCCCTCTGATAGACAGGCACATGCCACAAAAACCAAGCACATGGACTGCCTTAAAATCCTCCAAGTGAGCATATTTTGGTCACACTCTCTCTGTTCATCCAAAACCTCGCCCTGTGAAGCACTGCCCGTCATCAAGGCCGTCCAGATGTCAAGCAGAGTGGCCCAGCTTGCACAGGGATGAACAGAATTTAGTAGGGATAATCCAGTGCCACTAGTGTCCCCTGAAACCTGCCTGTCCTTGCAGACAAAATGCCAGGTTCTGGGCACATCCCTCCTTGGTGCCAGCCAATACGAGCGGCTCCTTCCCTGCGGCCGGGCAGGTTTCCCTAGTGAAGGGCTGTTTCCTCACCCTGTAATGCCCGGGATGGATGGTTCCGTGGGAAGCCGTCCTGGCAGGACCGGCAGGCAGCAGTCAGCTCTGGCACCGACTCCCGCAGTCAGCTCTGGCACCGACTGCCCGGCCTTTGGGAGCAGCCAGGCAGCGGGAGGCAAATTTTGGGCGTTGCTGGCAGGGACGGCAGCGCGTCCCTGGGAAGGCACGTGAAGGGGACCCACGTGCAGGGGGAGCTCAGCCAGCTGCCCCTCGGCACAGGGGGCAGTGGGGGTGCTGCCTGCCCTGTTTGCCAGGCACCCGCGCCTCCCGTTCAGATTAGACCCAGGTCAACCCCGTTTTTCTCTCCCTTTGCAGAGGGGAGAGGGTGAGCAGTCCCCTTCCCAGCTGTGCTAGGCTGCTGCTCACCCCAGCACCGCTCACACAAGGGTGAGGACGGACATGCACAAACTGCAAGAAGCACTTTAACCCCAATCCTGGAGGGTCTTGACCGTCCTGCTCACAGTCTGGGCTCACTGCAGAGCTGCGTGGCACCCCTCGATTTCCTGAAGGCATCCGGAAAAAACCTCCCAGTCCCCATTCCCACCCCCATCGGTTGTCCCCACGCAAACATCACCTCTGATGGCCCCAGGGATATGGCCCAGCCCTGTGGCAGAGCCAGCACCCAGAAGGTGCCCGCTGCCTGAGCAGCAGCACCACTTGGTGGACACCAGAGGGTTCACAGCAGCGCCCTGCCCTGCCCTGCCCCGCCCCGCACCAAACACGTCACTACTACAGCTTGAAACCAAACCGACAGCTGTCACTCCGCCCTTTTTGCGCTCCTGGGCTGCAGCCAAACCCATGGTTGTTGTCTTTCACACCAGCATTTTGGTACCCAAGACCCTGACAGGCATCATCACCATCACAGTATCCCCAGCTAATCACATAACTGGTGCAAGGGGTCCAAAAAATAAGGGGCAAGTCGTGACCGAGGTATTCACTGTGAAGTGGGGATCAGTGGAGTGGAGGAGGGAGGGTCAGGAAGGAGACTCCCAGGGCAGCAACGTGGGGAAGCTGCAATTTTCAGAGCTGACCTCATACAGAAGAAAAAAAAGTTACACAGGGTGAAAATGAAAACATAATTTCCACTAAAACCAGGAGCTGTTTAGCTCCCAGCCTTCATAGTGTTGGAAAGAGGCTACAAATTAAGTGTGGTTCTGCCGTAAATAGTAGAAAAATTATTTCATTTCACTACTAGTTCTTGAATTCTGTATTGCAATGCCCAGCAGTGACACTCTGGAGCCTGGGCAGCTCAAGGGCATCTGTCCACTCACGCTGGCCCCTTGGGGACTGTCCTCTGCAGAGCCACAATTCCATGCTGTAAAACTGCACAGCTACACAACAGCCCGTGGCTTCACCTGTCAGCATCGATACCCACGTTGCACAACTCATCATACACATGTGAACAAGGAAGAAGGGCCTGAGTGGGATTTTAAATAAAGAATGTGTTGTTTACTTGCTTGCTGGTAGGAGAAAAAAAAAAAGGTACGTGATAACACCTTTTCCCTGCTTACGTGCGTTTGTGCTGCAGGGGACCTGGTACCAGAGGCCACCCTGGGGACCCAGAGCTGGTGGTCCAGGAGAGCCCTCATGCCCTGGAACATCTCCTTCCCAGCATCTCAGGAAGAGCAGCACAACCCTTGCTCACATTGCAGCAGTGATGGCCATAATATAGCAAAGCTCCAGGCCCAGCTCCTGGGGTCATTGGCCAGATTTTCCACTCCACTACACGGTCACCTAGAGGCAGGGGTGGCTTTTGAGGTACCTGGAAATGGCAGGCATGGGAACACCTTCAGCCTCTGCTTTCCCCCTCACCCCAGCATGCTGTGGCTCTCCATGCAAATAGCCTCCCCTTTGCTCCCCACTCCCTCTAGTCTGGCTCCAAATCGCAGCACAAGTCCCCTGGGAGAGAAGAACAGCAACACCTCAAACCACACCACTGTGGAGTTTGGTGGTTTTAATGGTAATTAAAGAAATCAACAGGGTACATTTTGGCTTTGAAATACAAGTGCAAAAAGGGTACAATATAATGTTTTCTGTACATTTCTTACAAAATATTACATACATCCCATCCTGAAGTGGTACTTCACACCCTGCTGCACCCATGAACCACATATGCCCACCAGCTGTAGCTTTTCCTTTTTATGTGCAGGACATGGAGCTAACAGAAAGCTCCAGCTGGAGTCTTGGCAGAGGTTTTTAGGGCCATGGTAGGTAAATATAAGGGGTGAACACAGGGACCTTTCTGCCCAGCATGCCCAGGAGTGCCAAGCCACCACTGTGCCCTTGGGACAAGTGGGCAGCATCACCCTGCTGGCATTCACAGCTGTTCAGAAAATGCCATTTCTTGCTGTGGTTTGGCATTTTCCCTGTGCCTGGCATCACCTACCTCTTCACACCCTGTGCAGTGTGCCCAGGTCTAGCTCTGGCGAACCTGACTCCATTTTAACCACAGCATCTTCTTGAGAAGAAGTCAACCAGGCTATATGGCAAATAAATTAACCCCCTCCTCCCCCAAACCCCCCACACCAATGAGGCTGTGGGGCACATATCAGTACCCATCCTGGCAGTCATTGTCATCGTAGTCAGCAGCAGGTTTCCGGCGGAGAGCGCCCAGCCGCCTCTTGCGAATCCCACTCTCCAGGCTCTGCAGCGAGCTGTCATCCTCATGGCTGCTGGTCTCATGGGTGGCATCCTCCTGGGAGTGGCTCTCCTCATTGCCATCCTCCTCCTGGGACTCACTGTTGTCACTCTCTGGGGACCTGCTGTCCTCACCTGTGTTGTCCTCGGGGCTGCTGTCATCCTCTGGGGATGCACTCTGGCTCTCGCCTGATGTGCTTGGCACAGAGTCAGAGTCATTCTCGTCCTCCCGTGACTCCTCCACAGTGTCCTCTATGGACTGGGTCTGGTCCTCATCATCTTCCCTGGACTTGCTCTGGTCACCCTCTTCTTCTTCAGACTCGCTGTCAGGCATGGATGGCACACTCCTGTCCTCAGCAGACTCCCAGTCCTCTTGCCCTTCCCAGGTCTGGCTGTTGCTATGCTCGTTCAATGTGCTCACTACATCTGGGAACTCCTGTGGTTCTTCATCTGACTGGTCATCAGTGCTCTCCCTGGACCTGCTGTCCTCATCCTCGCTGGAGGGGCTGTCCTCCTCATCCCCATCCTCCCTAGAGCGGCTGGGGCTTTTTTCCTCTGATTCACTGTCAACAGGCTCTTCTGACTGACTGTTGTCTTCCACGGATGGGCTGTCTTCTCCAGAGTCAGCATCCTCCACCTCTGGGGACCTGCTATCACCCTCCTCCCAGTGGTGGGAGCCAGCCCCCTGGATGTCCTCTCGGCTGTTCCCTAGGGCACGGCGGCCAGCATGGCGCACCCTGTAGCTGCTGCCCCAGCTGTCAAAGGCAGAGGGGTCGTCACCTTGCATGGCTCCGTCCTCGAAGTCATAGCTCTCCTCCTCCTGGCTGCTGCTGCTGGCCCCTCCCTGCCTGTAGCTCCGCTCATACCAGCTGCCCACGTAGTTCCTGTACCGCCGGTGGTCTGCCCCGGTGCTCTCGCTGCTGCTGCTGCTGCTGCTGTCGCCATGCCCTCTGCCAGCCCCGGCATCCCCACGACCGGCATCGCGGTCGGGTTCACCCGCCCCATCGGCACCAGCCACGTAAGTAGGACCTTCTCCCCTCTCCTCTTCCCCATTCCCATCAAAGGTGTCATCCCCACTGTCATCCTCCTCATCCAGGAACCCGCCGGCGTGGGAGGGAAGCCCATTGGCTCCAGTGCCGTAATGGTCTCCGTTGTCACCGTCATCAGTATCACGTGCATCCCCCTCCTGCGGAGGTGACAAACACAGATGAATGCCAAGGCTTGCAGGTTGCAGGCACTATCAGCACTGCTCACCGTGCAGGCCAAGCTCAACCTTGACCAATGCCAGATTTGAGGCCAAGGGAGCTTTCCTGGCAGAGCAGAACGCACCTCTCCGCTCACTCACCAGGAAACCGAGGTCGTTCCCATTGCGGGCACTTGCATCCTCGTGATCCACCTGATTCACGTGCTGAGCCTGCCCAACTCGGTCTCCCTTGTCTCGGCCACTGTGCTCACCGAGCTCCTCATCCACAGCATTCCCGCCCATCAGGTCCCCGGCAAGGGCATTGTCCCCCCTCTCCACACCAACAGGAGGATGTCTGCCATCTCCACCATTTAGGAGGTTGCCCAGCTTATTGACGTGCTCTTCATTTGCTGTGTCCTGGAGGCAAAACGTGACATGATGCTTTGGTTTATTAAACACCAACTACAGCACATTTTTACTGCTGCTGCAGGACATCATTCCTAAGCCATGCAAGTGCTCAAGCCTTTTTCATTGCTTGCACCTCAGCCCTTCAGATATTTCTGCTGATACAAAAAACCCAGTAGCCACCAACAAAAGGACAACTCAGAAAAGCCCAAACTGTGACAGCTCAGAGCACAGAAACTCCTTTTTCAGGACCAACACAGCAGAAGGCATCAGGTAAACTGGGAACATGCTCAGGGAGGCAAGTCAAAATGAGGTGAAACCAACCTAGCTTGAAAAGACCGAGTAGATGGGCAAAGCTCAAAGATATGCAGAAGCAGCAGCTCCCCTCCCAGGTCCCTGGTCCAAGGATGCCTGCCCAAAGCTGGCTCCCCATCCTAGACTTGCTCCATGAGTGACTGCTACCTGTGGGACTGGGGCACCCCTCGCTTACCTCCTGCTGGGCGCTGGGATGGGTGGACTCATGGCCAGGCACCTAAACACATCCAGGAGACATCTGATCAGTGATCAGTGCACCCTGGCTGGGCCAAACTGATGGGGTTTGGGTGTATCTGTCCAGTGTGTACTTACGGGGTGAGCGCTGGCCACGGCCCAGAGGAGCAGCACCAGGAATGTAGCCACCCTCATGTCACCTGTGGTCCCTGTGGCTGCAACAAGGAATAAAGTAATTGCACACTAGAGCAAAGCATTTGCACGTGCCTCTGGCTGTAACTTGCCCCCACAAAGCCCTTCCAGCTGATACAGCCTTGTCATCCTGGCACATGGTGCTCAGCCTGGCACATCATCAAACAAGCCAAGGATTAGTCCTTGTGCCACCTCCTGGCATCTCCTTTGCAGAAACCTCCCTGCAATTTGGGATTTGAAATATTTGGCCATGTTCTGGCAGATTTTTTGTCTAAGTATCATGAAAGAGCACGAAAGCTCTCCTGAATGTCCTGTTCCCACAGTAATGTCCACCCAATCACCCAGGAGAGCTCAGTGGCTGTGACAGGAGCCAGCACCACAGATGGGCAGCACCATAAGTCTGTGGGCTGCAGAGCTGCACTTCCCACCTGGAATGGTCCCCACAACCCTGTAAAATCTCCCACCACCCCAAAGTGGAGGATGGTAGTAAGGCAAGCCCATGGAGAACTGCATCCCCAGAGGCTGCTGGGTCAGCATTCCAGCAGCACTGCTGCCAGGCAGGCAGGTAAGGCAGTGGGGGCTTTCCTCCAGCTCTGCTGTCATTTTCCAAGTCCCTTAAGCAGCCCAGCACCACATCCCCATGGGCCACACTAACTGCACTGTGCATCACCCTGTGCCCACAACACAGGCACGCTCCTGATTTCTTCCCTTACAAACCAATTCCTACATCTCAGCTTACAAGCCTTGTGCTTTCTACCAAAACTTGTGAGGAAATCTACAACCCCTATTCCCAAACATTTCCAGTTTCACTCCAGGCATTTTCACCAGATCAAGCCAAAGAAACCAAAACTTTTACCTTAAGGTGTAGTGCAAGTCCACGTCTCCTCCGGTGCTGGGGATGGGATGAGCCAGCTGCCTGTGTTGGGATGCTCTGTGCTGTGTGCCCCAGCGTGGTCATGCAGGCATTTAACCGCTGGCCAGTGTCAGCCCCGGGCAGGGGGCAGCCAATGGCACCAGCGGGCAGCGCTGCCACGCGTGGAGATGTCACCGGGAACTGGCCTCCCACGCTTCCTCTGCCCTCCGCCAGGACGTCGGCCCTAAAAAAGCTCCCTGTGGTTGCAGGATGACGAGACGGGCTGGCAGTTAATGACTGACTGCACTGACCCTGTGTTTTGACTGCTAAATTTATTCCATTCACACACTTCCCGCCATGACACACACAAACAACTACGGCGTCACCCACGCCAAGCACTGGACCCTGTCCCAGAGATGGCATCCTCCTAACCCGTGCACTTGGGAATGGTGTTTGCCCTGTGTCATGGGCCAGGGTGCTGAAACCCACAGGGGATGATTCCCTTGCCAGGTCTCAGCCTTCTCCTGTACATTAGGGCAGGAGCACAAAACCATGCTGGAAGGAAAGGACTTTGTCTATTTTCTTGCCCACTCAGGCAAGGGAGAAGGGAAATACTAAATGGAGGTGGATATGGAGTATCTCATCCCCTGCAAGGAGGGAGTGTAACATCCCAGCTCTCCTTCCAGCTACTGGACAGAGGGGAGATGAAACCTCTGCTCTGGAAAACACAGGCAACAACATGTGCACCTGTGTATGGGCACGTATAGGCATTTCTATATATATGAACACATATACACACGCTACATATACCCCAGGGATTCTTGGTGGTAGCATGGACCACCTACTCCAAACAGCACCATGAGGCAGCAGCACAGATGGACCCTCCTCACTCACAGGTACTACAAGAGGGTGTTTGCAAACCTCCAGAGGTGACAGTGCAACCACAGCTCTCTGCCCATGTGGAGTAGGACATGACCAGTATGCCCCAGCCACATGCCTGGCTTTTCCTTCTGCCCCAGCACGGGCAGAAGGAAGGCAGCTTCCTTCCCTGTATTTAGCCATTGCTAAATCTTCTGTGCCCACAACACTCCCCCTCTGCTGCATGTGCAAGCAGGTTGCTTTGAAGCAGGCGATGCATCTCTGCTCTGCCAGCTGGGCTCTCCCCACAGGCACCTGCAATGGCCCCTTGGCGCAGGATCCCAAATTCTCAGAGGTGAGTGTAGTGCCCAGGGAACATGGGCACACTGCAGGTTTACAGGGATTCACAGGAGATGGTGGCACTGCAAAATAAGTGACTGAAGGAAACTTGAGCAATAATAATTGAGTCAGGGCTCTGTAAATGATGGGTTATCTGAATTTGCCCGGGATGTACTATCTGTAGACAACAGCATCCAGAAAGCATGCCTTGTGCTGTGACACCACTGTGGCTCGACAGAGCACCTTGTGAAACCAGATTTGTCAGTCTGCTCTTGTGGGTGCCAGCTTAATTTCATTCTCCAAAATCTCCTACCTTCTCCCCCCATCATCACCAGCCAGAAGACCATGTGTATCTGCCCTGTGAGGACTGCAAGTTGCCATGTGTGATGAGCATCTTCCTCCTGCCCCCTAAGCAGGGAGGTACCACTGCTTTCCCCATGGCCCCTTGGTCTCAAGGTGGTCACCACTGAGCCGTTTACTCTCACTCACACCTTTGGCAGATGTTTTCCCTCTTCTTCCCTGCCTGATCCCTGCCACAGCTACTGTGGGATGTATTTTCCTTTTGACCCGGGACAAAATTATACCCCTGTCCCCAGCCAGATATGAGTTCATGTTACCAACCTTTTTTAGGCACCTCCAACAATTACCATGTTTTGTTGTATTTTTTTTGTAATGTCAAACCTGTATTTAACTCAACCCCCAAAGACCTGATGCTGCCTCACATCCAGGTGCTGTGGTGGAAGAAGGAGATAAACACCAAGCTGTGCATACCCAGCTCTTTTATGACACAGGTCACCCACTGCCCCATCAGCCACCACTCCAAGGTCACCTACCTCCCCTCCTTGAAACACCCCCAGCACCAGCACACCCAACAGTGCTCACTGTCAGGACCCTAATCTGACCCCAGGTCCCTGTGATCTCCAACAGCCCTGGCTCAAAAGACCAAGGTCTGTCCCCCAAATCCCTTCCAGAGATCATCCCACACTATCAGCTAGACCACCCAAGCAGATCTGCCTGTGTTTTGCAAGGAGAGGAAACCCCAGCCCACATATTGTAACCTGCCAATTAACCTTAAAAAAAACCCCAATAATATTAAGGATTATTGTTACATCAGAGGTGAGAAATGGACTGAGGGTGAGGGAAATAGCTGTCTCATGGGTGTTTATAATGTCACTGGGCATTTCCCCAAGTCCTACTCTCCTGAGACAGTAGGTCCCTTGAGATGGTTGTGATGGAAAGCAGTGGGGCAAGGAAGATGTGGGAAATTTGGCCAGGCTAAAGCTGGCACCATCAGGCTACCAGGGATAAGGTGGCTGAGTCAGAGGGGACTGGCAGAGCAGGTAAAAAGATGCAGGAATATCACTTCTCTGTTTGAAAAGCTGGACTGCACAGTGTTCATGAGGACAAAGAAAAGAAATTAGTGCAGACAGCAGCAGGGATTAGAGATGCCAAAGCCAAGAGAGAAATTGGCACAGCAGAGAGACAGCTGATAGAGGAGGCACATAACAGCTGCTCTCCTCCGCTGACTGAGACATCTCGGCATTAAAACCAAGAAATTATTATTGTTCAAAAAAAGCACCATTCCCTCTATTTTTTCCAGTCCAGAGTATTTTCACAGTATTGATGTTGCTGGTGCACTTCTCTCCTGAATAAACCTTTGGGCTTTGACAATAGCATCAAAAGGAAAAGAATCAATGAATGAACTGGGGCAGAAGAGAGTAGGACGAGAGCAGGACTCAAGCCTGCTGACACATCCTTAGCCCTCTCCCAAACACTCAACACCAGCTCCTACCTTATGGTCAGACCCAAACCCAAATCCCTTTGCCAAGCGCTTTCTGGTGACAAAGGCTACAAAGCAGTGCTGAGGTTTCCATTGGGAGCAGGTGGGGAAAACCTGCCTCCTAAATATGCATTTGCCCCATAAGTGCACCAGGAATCATCTAGTGCCCAATCCTAAGGGATTCACTCCCACAGTGCTTCTCTAAACAAGGGTGTTCAGCCTTGCAAACCAGCCAGGTTCCCAAGTCACTGCCTGCTTTGCAGGTGGGCAGAGCACAGCTGGGGGCTGTGTGTGCAAGGAGGGAGAAGCAGCCTGGCTTTGGCTCCTCTGCACTCAAGGGATCTGAATAAAGGCATCACACCTGGTACCTGAAGCCTGAGTAAATACGGTCTGTGTTTCACAGCATTAACGTCACACATAACAGTGTAGCTAATGATAACATTTTAGGTGTTTGAAGAACAGCACTGATATTCCAACTCCCCCTGGAAGCAAGCCTTGAAGCTACAAATGCTGTGATAAGCAGCAGATGGAAGTTACCAGCATGGTTGTCACAGTGCAGAGGCGTGCACAAGCTTGGTTTATGCTAGGCCTTTAAAATTTGCTGTTTCTCTGCACTGGAAAAAAGACATCATAGGTGCCTGAGTCCTGGAGCCCTGAATTACAGACACTCACAGGACCCACCCTAGTGCTACACCTCTGCACAAGACCAACATCCCTCTGCCCTGGCCTCCGACAGCACAGAGGTAGGATTGTTAACCATCCTTCTGTGTCTACCATGGAGTTTCCTTTACAGCCAGAGAAAACAAGCACTTTTGAGACATCAATCATTTGTCCTATTTCAGATACCTCTTTCAGGAGGAAATGCATCACAGACTGTTTGAAGTCTCTGTGATGCTGTCAAAGGAAGGTGACCAGCATGCTGATCTTGTCCTACCAACAAGATGCACCATTCCCTCTCCCGAAACACATGCAAAGCGAGCTCCTGAAACCCCTCTCTCCCATGCCAGCCCCACACTCCCTTAACTTCTGTTTCTAGCATTTTTATATCACCCTCCTCTGAGCAATGGCCTCCAGCAAAACCAGCACATCATCTTGACAGTCTGTCAGGATGAAGGCTCACTGGTGTTGTACATGTTCTGTGCTACTTGGAAGTTTGTGCTGCTTCTTGTTGCT